ACTTAGATCTGGTTACTACCATAATGATTATCTCCACAGAATGTGGGTGTGTGGTCACTCTTAGCTTCATTTCTCCCCATAGACCTTACTGGCATGGGTGTCCCTACCAGGAGCTTGTGCTCCAGCCTGCATTGCCCTATGGATCTGTAAAATTACTGGGCTCTCCCACCACGACCAGGTGGTGACCACGGGAGAGTTATTATTATTATTATTATTATTATCAACCCGTCTCGATTATATATTAGATTTGTATTTATTGAAATTGAATATCTTATTGTTGAAATGCTTCGAATCTCAAATAAATTGTTATTAAATCAGTGGCGTAGCGTGGGTGTCAGCCGTCCGGGGCGGAGGAAAATTTCGCCGCCCCCTTATTTAGGTATCTTAATTTAAAAGACTAAAATTCAGTTTCGTCACAATAAGTAATGAAAAATTCCGTGCTCATTTCAATCGGTCCGAATCGTAGGTACGACAAAAATATGAAATGAAATGGTTCAAATTTTTACAAGATATTATTATTATTTATTGTGAAATTTTGCCGCCCCCATTACGCTACGCCACTGTATTAAATAAGGTTTTGAATAGAAATAATTAGATATATGTTTTTAAATTAAATGTTCAAAATAAATATCACCAGACCTCTTCCAAGGAACAAAGGGGCGCACCGATTCTACTTGCTCCAGGGCGCTGAATATGTAGCTACGCCACTGACCGTAACTATACTTTCTATATATAATAAGGTTTTATACTGAAACTAACGGCAATTATTTACCCAAAAGTAGTCGCCACACCTTGTGATACTGTTAGTATAATTTCAGTTTAGAGATCACAGTGGGTCGTGTGCCCCACATGGTTAGGTGCGCAAATTTTTGTTAATTTTTTTTTTTTTAATTTTAAAAACTAACGTTACCAATGTATTAAAAACGTTATTTATAGATCAAGTAACATTAAATTTTGCACACAAAAAAGCATTATTAACTGAAATAAAAGCATGCGTATCATGATGACCCGTAACTACCACTTTTGTGTTACGTCTAGATCGATTCAACATGAAAGAAAACTTGTTTAATATTACTTTACAAAAAAAAGTGATATTGAACATTTTTAAAAATGAAGAGTTAATTTTTTTTCTGGTTGCACCTAATCGGTAGTTAAATATCGTTCGTTGTTTTTATGAAGTAATGAACGAACTTTCATGGCGAACTGATCCAGCCTTAAAGTGAATAAATCAATCTGAATAATTACCACAATGTCACAGCCATTTATATAAATCTTTATTATCAACAGCTGTTAGATGTCTAATAAGTGTAAGTCATCTGTCGTAAATATCAAGGCAAATGGGAGAAGACGTTTGTGTGAATACAAAAAGTTTCAGATGAATCAGAGGCAACATATTGCAAACTGTGCCACTGTAATATCACATCTAAATTTTGTAATTTATCATATCATGAAAACCAGAGAAACATAAAAGTAAAGCGCCAATTCAAGGCCAAAAGAAACTGGATCCAAAAAAACTCCAATGCATGACAATAATGACGTAAAGGCATCAGAGCTGCAAATTGCACTCAGCGTGATATGTCATTGTTCTCTACGTTCTGTTAACTATATAACTGAAATAATGAAAGCACATGGGCGTTGAAGTATATTTGAACATTTAAAATTGCACCGAAGTAAGTGTGCTTGCTTGATAAAAAAATGTGATTTCTTCTGCGTTAAAAACAGAACTTTTTGCCGATTTAACACTCAACAAAGCGAAATGTTCATTCTCTTCTAGATCTATTCGTGTACTGGGTTACCTAATTGAAGGGGGAGCTATACGACCAGATCCCAAACGTCTAAAGCCCTTGCTAGAATTACCTCTCCCTACGGATATTACATCTCTTCGCCGAACAGTAGGAATGCTGGCCCCGCTATGCTCAGTGGATAGATTTAGTGAGAAAATTCAACCTCTAGCCCAGAGTAGATCGTTTCCACTGCCAGCTGAGACTACCATGATCTTTTCAGATTTGAAAGCTGAAATATCTCGTTCTACATTGACTCCTGTTATTGACAACGTGCCCATTAAACAGATGTTTCTAATTTTCTATCGGTGCTACGTTGTTCCAGGAAGGTAAACCTGTGGCTTTCTTCTTACGATCCTTGAATGGTAGTGAGAGAAAACACTGTAGCATAGAGAAAGAAACATACGCTATAGTTGAGGCGTTAAAAAAGTGGAGACATTTCTTAATTGGACGTCATTTTACATTAATTACTGACCAACGTTCAGTAGTTCTCATGTTTCATTCTAAATCTAACAGTAAAATTAAGAATGATAAGATTCTAAGGTGGAAATTGGAACTGTCGTGTTACAAGTTTGATGTTATTTACCGTCCTGTAGTCGGAACACCGTTGCTGATGCTCTATCAAGAATTTGTTGTGTCCTTCCTGATTTGAAGAGACTGTCTTCCATAACTCTCTCTGTCACCCAGGAGTAACTCGTTTTTATCATTGGGTGCGTAGTAGGAACTTGCATTTTTTTTTTTTTTTTTTGAGGAAATAAAGAAATTAACTGCTTCTGGTCCCACCTGTGCGGAATTAAAACCAAAATTTCTTGGTCCTTCAAACCACCTTATTAAAGCCATGTCTCCCTTCGAACGTTTAGTCATCGACTTTAAAGGTCATCTTCCTTCCAAGTCGAGGAACCGTTACCTTCTGACAATAACAGATGAATATTCAAGAATTCCATTTACGTTCCCCTGTCCAAACGTCAGCAGTAGTACCGTTATTAAGTGCCTTCGTCAGATGTTTCCAATCTTTGGAGCTCCATCATATATACATTCAGATAGAGGAGCTGCATTCTTATCTCGTGAATTTCGTTCCTTCCTCACCTCTATTGATGTTACTTCTAGTTTTTCCACCCGAGGGTAATGGTCTCATCGAGCGTTATAATGGCATTATTTGGAAGACAATTTCCTTGGCTCTTTGCTCGTCTAATCGAAGTATTGATCAGTGGGAAGATGTACTAGGCGATGCATTACATGCTGTTCGGTCTTTCCTATGCACCTCTACAAATTCTACGCCTCGTGAGAGAATTTTCAGACCCCCACGAAAGATGGGTACGGGTATTTGCCGTCCCACTTGGTTGCTATCACCGAGACGTGTCCTACTACGTTCACATAATCCCAAGTACGCTCCAGCGTTGCCATTCCTAGTACATTTGTACTTTTCGGGTATACTGTATTTTGCTTTTTCGAGCACATTGAAAGTACATTTAGATTTTTAGTACATTTTGAGTACATTATAACATTTCAATACCATTTATGGTACAAAATAATATGTCATGCCTTAACGAGAAAATGCGAAAAAATTAGTTTAATAAAGTCACTCTAGTGTGACTAGTGAGATTTTATTAACAAACATAATCCGTTCCAAAATTTTGTTCGATATCCGAATTGTTCGTTTATGGATTATCGATTTACCATACGTTTTTATGGGAATTTGATTAATTCGTTTTGGAGACTCCAAAAAAATAAAAAATAAATACCTTTTTACTACGTTTATTTATATGTAATAGTAAAAATACATATAAATGCAGTCTTGCATTTTTATTAGTCATGTTTTCTCCGTTTATGGGGGTTAAAGAATTCGTCTAATGTCGATTGCTTTTCTCTCTTCTTCAGGATTTTTTAGAAGTTATTAATAGCATTGTAATTGTAGAGATCCTCAAGCCTATTAACCTCAACCTGGTTTGGATGCCATTCTAAGACCGTTCTTCTGACATCCTCCCACTTCTTCAAAAGATCTTTAATTAATAGCAGATATCGGCATTAATCCTCTTCTTCAGAAGAAAACCTATCTCGACGAGTTTCTTGTGTTTTTCATTCAAGAATTCTTCGCGTTCTTCTGTCGTCAGATCAGTTTCAGGTTATGAGCTCTTCAATGTTCTTTATTTCTCAGATGTGATTTTTGTTACTCCTTTAGCTGCTTGAGTCTTCTTGATTATACTGTATATTTCTTACTGTTAGATAAGATTGAACTGTGGCCTACTGTAGACCTGTTCAAGCCATACTGCCCAGCAACATTAGGCATCTTCTGCCCACTCTCTACCTTTGCTATTATACTCTCACCTTTCGAAAATAAAAACCCACGTAAAACTTAAGGAGTGCCCGCCCGACGGTCTCGCGAATACTATAAAAGAAATGTTTTCGTCAGAAAAATAAAGGGCTAGAATTACAAGGGAGAATTTCAAAGTTCGGAAGAATACTATCCGATCAGTATATACCGAATTGAGCATCGATGTGGACGTCTCCCGCGCTCTAAAAAGTTTCGAATTGTTGCCCGAAGATAAGAGTAGACCAGTGGTTCCCAATTAGTGGGGGCGTACCCCTGGGGTACGCGAAATTGCATGAAGGGGTACGCGCGGCAATTAAAATCGGTTGATTTAAAATTTAAATGCATGAGATGAAGCAATCAAAAAAATAACGGGTGAACCATCAAAAATTCGGCAATTTAGAACATGATGTCGAATGCACAAATTCGTTCATTTATAACTAAAAATATTCTCGAAATTTCATCAAAAAAATGCATTTGTGACAATACCTAAATGAAATTCTTGCGCAAGAAACAAAATTGTACAATTAACACAATTTGTTTTCGCGAAATTAATTTTGAAAATTTTTGTCGCTGTTATTTCTCGCGCGCGACAACGCGACTTCTCGCAGAGTATAATGAGACTTCACTGAGTTTAATAATCAGTTACGACATCTCGCTTCTAAATCGGGCTAGAATTTATTATATCAGCGAAGCGACAATAAAATATTCACTACCATTTTGCGCAACATACCTCTGCGAGAGCGAATTTTCGGCCATGACAAACATGAAAACTAAATATCGTCACCGACTTCAACTCGAAGATGACTCGAGAAGGAGTTTCGGTTTCGTTTTCGTTACCGGTGGACGCCATTTTTCACTGTCGATCTTTAATCATCAATAGATAGTGCTCAAAATATATATATATATATATTTTTTCCTTACTGCTTTTAGGTCAAACTTTTCCAAAAACCGGTCAGACCGTTGTTGTCCATTATACCGGTGAGTTGGTTTGTTTAATTTCCTTTCGTGCTGTTTGTTATAACAACTGCCATAAAATAAATTTTTGGCATACCGAACTTTCTCTTTACAGAAAATTAAAAATAATTCTTACAAGATTAATTTTAGGAAGTGAATTAACTTAACTTTTATATAATTTTTATTAAAGTTTTAATTAGATCCAGGAAATATATTTTCCAATTTATTATATGGATTTCACAACTGAATTTGATGATGATTACTAAGTATAAAATAAATTAGAGCTAATGAAAAGTATAAAGTAGTTATGGTAGTGTAGAAAGGGAGGGCTCCGTACCATTGTAAATAACTAAATTAAGAAAACTTCACATAAGTACTGAAAAAAGGGTGGTAATTGTACAGGATTCCCTCATTACATGTCTTTTCTTAATTTTGTTCTTAAAAGAAGCATATATGATAGTCATTTGCAAATCGCGCAGAATTATTTGGTTATGACTCATATAAAAACGCTATAAACAAAAACCAATAGGACTATTAATTGACTGCACTGTTCGGGCCGCTGTTACTTAACTAAGCTCGTTTGTATTGTGAAGTACCACATTATATGATAGATGTGTACAAAACGTGTCACTAAGTCATGTGACTAGTTTATAATGTCACTCATTTCAGCCATGTGACATCTCTGATGTATTTCCTAAGAACTTCTTGGACTCCGAAGAGACTGTGGACCATAATTTGATAAACATTGCATTTGTTGTTTCTGGTAATACTGTAACATTCTACAACAAAACATACTGACTTAAAATTTGATGACAGATTATTTTTCAACATTAACTTTGCTAAAAAAACAAGTAAATTATCAAATTACTTAAAATTCAGATTAAATACTTATAATACTAAATAAATAAATATAGATATAGAAATATATGTTATCTAAATTCACAAATATATATGTTTTATATAACTGTTTTATTTTAAGATTTGAACTAAAGTTATATACAGCAGAGCGTCGTTTATCCGAATCAATTGGGGACTGGGATTGTTCGGATAACCGATTATATACGAAAAAATATATTAACCTATCCCATCCTGAAATTTTTCTCCTTTGTGTGTCACTTTGCGTTGAATTTTCGTCGATGTTAAGCCTAACGTAAACTTTTTAAAATAATAATCATGGCTATTGTATCATTAAAAATTATTTCTTTATTTTGTACAGACAAAATAAATATATTGAAAAATATAAAAACAATAAAAAATTATACTTCAGAAGTTAATTTAGTATCAAAAACGTAAAATATTTGAGTAGCCCAAGACATAGCCAAATATTGCAGCGCCACAGCACTAGCAAAAATTTAAATTTGCCAACTGGAATTCTTTTGGATAAACGACGCTCTACTGAACTGTATCTGTAATAATGTACATAAGACTTTTCCATTTAGAAATAAAATGTTTTATTTAAAACAGTAGATGTAATGTGTGTTAGAGCAGTGCTTCTGAAACTTTTGTGAAATTAAATAAAAATAATTATGAAATGAACCAGCACTGTTAGAGCAGAAAGATGTGAAGTTTAATCGGTTGCAGGCAAAGTTTATCAGTATTGAGTTAGTCCTCAAACTTTGTTTTTAATTTTTTTTTATTAATTGATTGTTAGAGTCTGTACTACTAAAGCAGATACATTGCAATAACACACCTTCAACTGTTGTAAATCGTCAAGCTATTATTTGGTAATAATAATTATAAATTAATAATAAATTTGGCCCTAGAGGGNGCTATTATTTGGTAATAATAATTATAAATTAATAATAAATTTGGCCCTAGAGGGACGTGTTAGGTGGCATCTTGTACTAAATTTAATAATTATAATTTTAATTAAATAATTTTAGATTAAACTGGAAGAAATTAAAGGTGATTGGACTAGAGGTCCTGGTAGCATAACTGGCAATGCATTCGCATGGTAAGTGGCAGTTGCAGGTTTGAGTCCTGCTCCGAGTCAATTCTTTTCTTTCAGTTTAATCTAAAATTATTTAATTAAAATTATTATTAAATTTAATACAAGATAGTGCCTAATGCCTTCCTCTAGGGCCAAATTTATTAGTAATTTATATTTATTATTGCCAAATTATAGCCTGATGATTTACAGTAGTTGAAGGTGTGTAGTCTGTTAAAATCGTTTGTTAGTGAATAGTTAAAATGATGAAAAGATATTAACATGTCTCCAGTTTATCATTAAATAATATACAATTAATTTTGATACTTTCGTAATATAAAAACATCAAATAACATGGTTAAGAAATTCATTAGTAAGACAAAGCATGAGAAATGAAGTTCTGGATGAATAAAATGAATCAACACAGGTACGACAAAATAATGTTAGAGTTCTTTCCCTTGTAAGTTGAACATTGTCATTTGTGTACTGATTCAAAAATTTCAATTAAAAAAATGAAAATAATTAATGCAATACCATTATTAAATAATACAAGACTAAAATGAAGAAGAATAGGATTTGTTAGAGAGAAATATACCCCAATATTAAAAATTTAATACTTCCTGTTTTAAATATTTCCATTTTTTTAAAGAGTAATTTTCTAGAAAAGTTTTAAGGCTTCTATACAAGTAATTTGATAGTTAATTTGTTGAGTTTTGCAGAGTTAACGTTAAAAAATAAATTATTGTTATCAAATTTTAAGTCAGTATGTTTTGCTATAGCATCTTATGGTATTACCAGAAACATAACAAATGCAATGTTTATCAAACTGTGGTCCACAGTCTCTTCAAAGTCTGAAAAGTTCTCAGGAAATATGTCACAGATGTCACATGGCTGAAGTGAGTGTTGTTTTGAGGTAGTCAAGTGACATGCTTTGTATGCATCTGCCATCCAACATGATACTCCACAAGGAAAATTAGCTTAAGTAATGGTGGCCCAAACAGTGCAGAATTGATAAGTAGTCCTATTGGTTTTGTTTATAGTGTTTTATATGAGTAGGCACCAAATAATTCTGTGTTTTGCAAATGACTATCATATGTCTATTAAGAACAAAATGAGAGAGAAAGTGATGCTATACTTCTATGGTAGTATCGAAAAAAGATTTGAATGTGACAAATGCACTTGTACTTGTGTACAGTAAGACCCCTGTTATCTAAGGTAATGCAGACTGATGCTGTCTTGGATAACTGAAAACTAAGAAAATGGATGACTGTGGCCATTTTGGATTAAAAATTACAAACAAAATAATGTGCTAACACTATTAAGCCTCTTTTTATACATTAGCAAATTTAATTATAGTTTTATAAGAACTAACACTTTATTCATTACACAGCTAATAACATAATGTAAAATTAGTTTTAAGAATGAAAATGTATATTGTAGTTATGTTTTAATATGAATGATTTGTCTCACATTAAAGTTAAACAATAAGAAGTAATAGAAGCAAATTACAGGCTTACCCCAGGTTAAGATCATTTCATGATAAAACAAACTGCAAATACAGTCATCGTGTATTTCTACCCCTATCATGATCTGACTTACCTATTCCCACCAATATGATGCTTTCTGTATTTTAAGTGTTGCCACCTGTCCAGTTTTTGGATCATTTGTTCAGGCAAAAACCAAAAAAGTATAGGTTTATGAAAAATTGGCAAATTGTCATTAATTAATTATTTTTTAACAATATAGCTGATTTTATAACCAATGAACAGAAACAGTCTGATAATTTAATTTGTAAGTCATTTATAACATTCCAGAGTAGAGGTCCACATACTCTGCCTTGAAGACAGTCTCTATTTAAAGAGCAGTTTTTTTTAACAAATCCTGATTCAAGCTCAGCTGTTATGTCTTTTAAGAAATGCATGGGCAAGTAGAAAATACTTGCTAAATTTGTGGTACTTTAGTAATTTTAAAATTGAAGACCACCATGCATTGTCAAATGCACCTTTGATATCTAGAAATATTACAAGACATCAACCTCTTCTGTCCTTGCTGTAGAGCAGTGTTCCGCAACCGGTGTGCCGCGGAACACTGATGTGCCGTCACATGGTGAAAGGTGTGACGTAAACTTTTACATATTTTGTTAATTTCAGATTTTATTTATATATTTTTATCACAGTTGTTGTGTTTCTTATGCTTGTATTTCATTCTCTGCCGCAGTACTCATGAAATAAGATGATGTTTGTTTATTCTTTATTATAAGCCACGCATTTTTATGTATTCTAAGAAATTATATGTAAAAAAATTTGCTCACAGGTGTTGATGTCTGTTTAATAACAATAATAATAGGTTAGTGGCATTACGTAATTCTATTAATAGTATCATATCATACGTTTTTGAGGGGAATAACATTTTGGTGTGCCGTGTTGAAGTCATGGGTGTGCCGCAAGTAGAAAAGTTGCGGAACACTGCTGTAGAGTATCAAACAATTTAACAAGGGCATTCTCTGGGAATGCTGGGGCATGAAACCATATTGGTCATTACTCAAAAACTTTCCATGAAATGAAACTTAAATAAATAAAAAAATATATGTAGGAAATGGCAATTCACAATATAACTACTATTTTATGGAACACATTATATATGTAACCTGGAGTATTCCTGTATTTTGTAATAAATGTATTGTATTATTGTTTTAAATTCTTTTTAAAAGGCATTTAATTTTTTTTAAAGCAGTTCCTCCCTTTTTTACAATTCCCTGCCACAAAGTCATCTTGGCGTCATTTTTTGTGGTTGGTTTGTTTCAGATATGTCATGCTCTATCTCTCATCACACTGTTGTCTTCATTATGGGTCTGGCCAAACTCATAATGGACATGGAGAAAAGACTGTCTTAATAAGACTTAAGACATTTTTTTAAAAATCACTTTAGTATCTGCTGCACACTTGATAATGTGGTTGTAACGGCTCATGCTTGATATAGTTCAGATTTAAAATACTAGTGTTTACAGACTTGATGCATTTACAGAAAAGTTTTTGAATATGAAAAATAGTGTATTCACCGTGGATGATGTGGAACTTCAATTAATTGGAGTTCAGAT